TTGACTGTACAATATTATTAAGCACATCACTGTCAACCATAGGGAACGCCCATTCTTAACGACGTATGAATTTAAAACTATTAGAACGCGGACAGAGAACATAAACAGTAGAAAAAAAATCCTCTGCGGAGCTGTTAGCACAAGTTTCTCAATAGAAATAAATACACATTCGTATATATAATTTGAAGTAGTTTTTATATTTTCATTATATAGTTTTTCTGTTGCTTTTACAATATATGCTATAATTATCAAATGCATAATATAATATGTATTATCAAAAAAATTAACGAGGATTTTTAATTTTTATAAACTATTTAATTTCCTGTATTTAATTTCTGCCTTTGATATGATGCTACAGTATGTAGTTTCCAGACGAAATGAAACTTTAGGTTGGGAAATGTTGTACTTTAAATATCTTTTTGAGTTTGTAAAATAGAAAAAAGTCGCAGGGTGTCACGTCTGAAGAATAGGAGAGTGCGACATAAATAACAGTGGTTTTTTATTTTGCCAAGAACTGTTAAAAAAGAAACAAATTTTGTTGCCATCATTTCTTATCCAAAACGTCAGATTAGAAGAGTATCGTCGCTCTATAAATCTTCTTTAACATTTTAAATGCTTCACATCAATTTTTAACACAAAATCTTATACAAGCTCTCTGATCTTATAGATTGTCACTCAAAAAATTGGTAAATACACTAATGTGCGAGATGTTCAAGCGTTCGGAATATAAATTAAGCATCGCAGCTTCGCATTAGTAAAAATATAGAGCACACGAAATTTCAAAGTTCTCTCTACTTTCTAATCACACCTCGCATAAGAATATCTGTACCTTAATTGAGGATCATTAATGATATCCAATTACTGATGGAATGGTGCTGTTCAACTTCTTGTCATATCAGCCGAGCCTATTACATACACATACTCAGCTTAAAATTTTAAAATAAAAAAGTCACTTCAGTTCACATTTTATTACCTAAATTTTTTTGCAGGTTAATAGCGCAACACTTGCCCTTTCCTCTTCTGCTTGCATTCACATCTATCTTTGTATTTTTGTTTTTTTGGTTTGTTGTCAGAAATCCTGTTCTTTCCTGCATGCAAAACAGGACGTTTTTAACGTTTTTGTTGCTTTTAAATATTTATTCATATTCCAGCGCCTCAATTCTTTTCACTTATACACATATGGTAAAAAAATTTTTTTTAATCTTGATTCATCTTATTTGGATTTGAAATTACTTTCTTCAAAATTGTGACCGCAAACATTTTCTGCTTCAAAATTTGTTGCTTTTGCATGTAATTGTGTTTAATTTTTTTTAAAGAATAACTGTTAATTGTTTATGTTTAATCTTTATTGTTGTTTCTTTGGTTAAAATAAATTAGAAAACAAAAATCAATGTGAGTAAAAATAAAAAAAATTATGCGAAATTTAAGAAAAGCTATGTGAGTGATCGCAGACTTTTTCTGCTATGTGTATATAGGTATAAGCTCTTAAAATCATTTTTTATTCAAATATGTATATATTATTGAGTAGTTTGATAAAAAAAATTCTTTTATCGAGTCTTTTAATGAAAAATTGGATTATATATGTAAGGAAAAATCTCAAAGAAAAGTACAGATTTTACTTTTATTGCGTAATAACGTTTTTAACTTAAAGATGCATGCTCTGTACATATGTATTTCATGGCTATTATTATTATTTTAATGCAGTACACTACTTTTACTTAATTTTTATTAACTTCTATGTATTAATGTTTTCAAAGTGTTACGTCAAATGTTTATATACATTATTGCTAGCCTTCTGGCAATTGTTTTGTTGCTAATGTTCGCTTACGTTTGAGTGTCACAGTTATTGACTATTGACATTGGTATATACATATATAACAAATCAGCAATTCAATAACAAGGAACATAATTATCATTACAAAAATACCTTTGATTTTTTATTTAGCTTTTTTTTCCATCGTCAAATTTAAATGATTGTGCTGTTATAGTAAATTACAATGTAATATTAAACATTTAAATTTTTTTTACTTTTAATTTTTGTAGTAATACTTTTGCAAATACATATTATTTCCAACCAAAACATTAAATATATTTGAAACAGTAAAAATCGACACAGTAAGACAGGCGACGACTGGGAAGTGGGAAGTGGGAAGTAAACAATTCAATAAATTAAAAGCTTGAAGTTAATCTTTCTTTGCTATTTTACAGCTACGATTTGTCCTACCAATTATTTTTTTTATATTCTTTTTTAAATGTCGCCGCTTGTTAAATGTACTTATGATACTCTGCTGCAGTAGCAGCAGCAACAGCAGCAGCAGCAAGAAAGTCACCGCTTGTGTTTGTAGAGTATGCAGTATGCTGCAGTATAAGGCGTGCATAATAAATATTTACGTGTCTTTGCGTGTATTCGATTTCGACTATAAGTCGGAGCGAGTAAGCAAAAACTGCTCGTGCATACACAAAGTGGCACCACATAGCACATAAATTATAACTCCCCAAGTGAACGGTATGTTTCTGAAAGAGTGCAAAGCAACAAAGGAACGCCAAGCAAACAAGCAAGTAAGGCAACATGAGAAATCAACATGCCATGCCCAACATGTTGCCAATTATTAAAAAAAAAATAAATAAATCAAAACAAAAACAAAATTAAAAAGTGAATACGTAACTTTTTTATAAAATTGGTGGGTGGGGGAGTTGGTGAAATTAGCGTTAGGCAAAAGTCATCTAAAGTTTGGTTCTTAGTTTGGTTCTGTGTTGGCATAAATTACAAACTGCACTGGAGCTAAAATTTACTTTTCTCTTACAAAGTACTTTAACATAAATTTATGTTAATCAAGTCATTTACAATTTCCCCTCAGAAATTTTGTGCTTGTGTATGCTTTGAATTCACCACGTCAAACAAAAAAATTGTATGATAAAGTGTATGTTGTGTAATGGTGAGTGATAAGGTCACTAATTGAGCACGCAATGCGCATGTGCTCCAAAGCTGATAACAGTAAACATTTACTGTAGACAAATACACATACTCACTTCCCTACATCTCTACTTTAATATAAATTTTTACACCACGCCTGTTATTATTTCATTTACGTACGTCTGTATAGTGCAACTAAAGTTCTTAGATTTTTATTAACTTTCATATGCAGTTTTTTTGTTTTTCTTATAAAAACAATAAAAAAAACAAAATTTTAAAATGTGATATCAATTAACAGTGGTAAACTTAAACACTTTGTATGCAATAATCGTCACCGTTAAGTGAAGTGGAGTTCCGAATCCCGCTTGCTGCATTATTATGCTTATTATTGTTGTACTGCTGTTGTTGTTAGTTGTAAGCCAATTTACCACAAACAACATGGCACCTACTCGCATATAAATATATACAATAAGTGTATGTCTGGATATATTTATATGTATGAATGTTGCTTGCTGTTATACGTACGTGCTTATTGAGGTATAACAATGCGTGGTAGAAACTGGTTTTCCAAGTAGACCAGTTTCGTTTTTCTACTGTTTTTTCTTCGTTTTGTTGCTTAAGCTTGTCAGCCTTGAAGAGAATAAATTTTTATTGTTTAAATTTATTGTTGCTGTTATTATTATTTATTGTTTTTTGAATTTTTTTGCCATGATTTAATAACATCATTGCAGTTTAAACATACTATAAATACTTACATATGTATATGAATAAAATTTGACTTAAGCGTATTGACCCACCGTACTCACCTTCCCCAACTAATTCGTTTCTGTGGTGAAAAAGCATTTACAATAGTAATTTCACTAAAATTGTGTAAATAATATATTAAAATATATCATTTATATTGAAAGTTACACATCAACACATTATCTCTATTTAATACAAATATGTAATGTGAACACCACTCAAAGACTCAACTTTATAAATTAAAAAAATAAAATAAAAATGAATTAGGATTACGATAAAATTATATTAGAAATTTAGGTTCCTAGTAAAGTGGATTACAACGGCTAAAACAGAAAACAGAAAACAGAAAACGAGACTTTCAGTCTTTCAAGTGAATACCAAATATCTCCGGTTTCGGTAAGGATTAGTTGATATTCGACGGGAATTGAAGATTAATTACCAGAAATATGTTTATAAACATACATTTACTCTTGTTAAATATTTTTTATTTACATCCATATATCACGTATATCGTAAATATCTGATTAGAAAGAAGGATCCAAATACAACAACGAGAGAAGAATCAGTATTTTTTGCAATAATAATTGTTGTATACTCTTGACCCCTTTCGACTTGAATTCGTATTGATGTTGTTATTGTTATTGTTATGTGTGAGCGATTATCGCATTTATCGAAAGCACAATTTCTGCTGCATCATTAACGTTAACAACAACAACAACGACACCAATTATTGCTGCTATGGAACAGAAACCAGCAAACTGAACTGAACTGCACAATCGAGCAACATCACACCATCACAAAACTATTTCAAGTGCCAATTGTGCATTGTTTTGTTGCAGTTATTTTATTTATTTATTTTTTTTTTTTCTAAAGTTGCAATTTGAAATTTACAAATAAAAACAAATAAAAACAAAAAAAAACAATAAACAACTTTCAATTTGGTTGTTGTTCGCCGCTGCCGCCTATTTCTTGTCTCATCCCCAGAGTGCTTGAGCTCAAGCTGATTGAAAATTATTGACATTTTTTCATGATTGTCCAGTGAGTGGTCTTGTGTATGGACTTGTATTTCTAGTACTCGTATAATCTCTTGTTTAATTTAAATTAACTTATATAAATTTAAATTGATGGCGGTTTTTACTCAGCAAAATAAAATGCAAGCCGATATGTGCAAGTTTATATACATATATCTTCTATATGTATATATAATAATAATAATAATATGAACGTAGATTGCTTCGCTATTTCGTTTAAATATTCGAGTTTGTCATTTTTATCCTTTCAATTATTTGATAACAAATAAATTAAATTCTAAATTTGGATTTTTTTCTATCTCATTTTTTAGTCTAATTGGATTACGATTTATGAAAATTAAGGCAAATTTCAAAAATTAAGACAGCACACAAGCAATTCATTTGTCCCATTTGTGTGAATCCCAATCTTGGTGCCAGTACTGAACTAGAGTTATTGTTACATTCGCTGTGGAAGCTGCTTCGACCACTAAAGTCAGTGCCAAACTCTTACTTAACAATCTGCAACCTGTCTATCTTTGAGTTGCAGTAATATTTTTGGGATTGCATTTTCAGGCCTAGCGACATATCTGGCATATCTGGCATATCTGACGAAATTGTCGCAGTTAGTCACTCAGTTGGTAATACAAATATTGGAACTAATCTTTAGTTAAAGATTAGAATTTCGCTGTGCGGAAGACAGACGACTTTGTTTGTTGGTGTTTGGAGAAAGATATAATAAATTAAAATGGAACGAGAACAGAATCCGATGCAACCCATGTGCCGTTCTGGTTGTGGTTTTTATGGTAATCCCGCTACAGATGGACTTTGTTCAGTATGTTATAAAGTAAGTTAAACAATAATATTGTTAATTTAAATTAATAATATTTAAATAATTTTTGTCTATACTCCTTTTACAGGATTCTTTAAGAAAAAAGCAACAACCACCAGTTAGTAGCACACCCGTTTCTGTTCCAAGCCCACAACAAAGTCCAACGTTTAATCCGACAATTTCTATCACAAGCACAGCGCAACCAACCGTTCAGTCTCTACAGCAGCAACAACAACAACATAGTGAAGACAAAGAAGTAAGTTTTAATATTTTTAGAAAGAACCGTTCCATAACCCATCCATTGTCTATAGACCCATTATGTCAATAGAAACCTTATTTTTATTCTGCGAAAGTTGTTACGACCTACGACTAAATACTCTATATTAAGTTTTGAATTTTTAGCACTTCAAATCGAAAAAGAAAAAAAAACAAATCATATTAACCGGTTGTATTTAAAAAAAAAATAATTTTTTTTTCTCATAAAGAAAAAATATAATTTATTGAAAAAATAGTTAAGTAGTTTCAGGAATTGGTGATATGTTTTGGCAAGTTTTTTAGGCACCCCTGCGAGTTGAATCCAAATTGGAAATTCTCAAAATTTTTCAAAATTTAAATAAAATTCATAATTCATAAAAAAATAATTAAATATGTTGGCTAAGAGATCATCGATACTTAACTGTAGAAGTGTTCAACGCCGTGACAAGAGGGTGCTGTGTAAAACATGTATGGAAGTGACTCCATTAAAAGTTCCAAGGCCAATAAATTTTAAACCACCTTTTGATACTTCCTCTATTGTCAAACAACTAGCAACAAAGGAGCAAAAAAGTGAGCAATATTAATTTAAACTTTTACATTTTGATTGTGTCTTTAAAAATGATTATTTCTTTCTTTGATTTAGACCTAATTAGGTTATATCAAAATCCAACGCCTTCGTTCGTTAAAATAAAAATGCCAGAATTATATTTAGTTCATAAATCTAAAAAATTGAATGCACCTAAAGCTGTTAGATTTAGATCGTCTTATTCCATACTGCCTCCGTCGAAGATTGTGTTCTTTTCTAAAAGTAAACCTCTTCCAATCGACTATAAACCAAAGTCGATACTTAAAGTAAAAGTTCATAATGATGGTTTCAGAGTTGATAAAGTAAAGAGAAACATTAGACCTATGAAATCACAGTTGTTATCGAAGTCAACGTTAAAATCGCTTTGCGATTATCGAACAAAACTTGCAATTGAGTCTTGCGAAACTCCAGTGAAACGCAATGCACTCAAAAAAGTGAACTCAACGACGAATTTTCGAAAAATTGAGGAACAACATTCGAAAACCGTGATTCCAGAAAATAGAACAGATCTACATAAGACACCACCTATTATTATACCCAAACTAAACAAGTATTTGAAAGCTCAATGTTGGGAGAATAAGCTAACAGATATAAGACCATCATTCTCATTTTCTGGCCTTCCATTAAGAAGAAAGACAACACAATCGCTTCCAATGTATTCGTCCGGAAATGGTGACTCTATCAACTGTGTTGACTCTATAAAACAGGAAAGGTTCTGCGCATTAGAACATAATAATCCTAAAACTATAGCGTTAAATGCATTTTCTAAGTGTGAGGGAACAAAAGAAGGTATCGTTCATGTGTCTAGAAAAGTTCTTGAGAAGAAGGTTGCATCAACTAGGATATCTTTGCCTGAGAAATTGTTTGCTTCAACAAAACCAAATGATCAAGAATGAATAGATTGATGTTGCTTATCATCATATAAAATTAAAACAGTCCATCGATGTGTAACAATAGTTCCGATGATTTATTTGTTGTCCATATAGACTTGTATAAATGATGTATCCATAATTGTTAATATAAATTATGCAAATGAAATATTTTTTCTATTTATTTAATTGATGTGTAAGTGATGTATAATTGATGTTAAAAAAATATTAAAGATATTATGGAAAGTGTTATGGAATGGTGTGATAGGGAATAGATTCTTTATTTGATTAGATTGTTTGAATTAATATAATTTATTTGTTTTCTTTTAGAAGATTGCAGACGAATCTAAGCCCAGCGAAGAAACTGCAGCGGCTGTAGCTTCGACATCGATTCCTGCACCAACAGCCAACGATGATAAAGATAAAGACGACGATAAAGATTCTAAGAAGAAAAAAAATCGTTGCGCTGAATGTCGTAAAAAAGTGGGATTAACAGGTATAAAGAATAATCGAATATTAATTCAATATACATAAACGGTAACTGAAATATGTAATGTTTTTTTAGGTTTCGAATGCCGCTGCGGTGGATTATTTTGTGCAGTACATAGATACAGCGATAAACACGACTGCACTTTCAACTACAGGGAACACGGTGCTCAAGAGATAAGGCGCAATAATCCCGTTGTGGTTGGTGAAAAGATACAAAAGATATAATGTTGTTCGTGCCATCGCTATAAAACACTCACACTTACACTAACACCATACATCCTCAGTTCACGCAAACACAAACACAACTCCCACGTATAATAAAATTAAAACAAATCGTATATATAAAAGAAAACTAAATATTATATATAAATTAAAAAATTTAAATTTATATTAGCATAACAAAATTATCCACATGTAATTAATTAAAGTAAATAATTATATAAATTCAAACTAAATTGCAACAACCATTCCAACAACAAACCCCATTAATAAATGACGAACAACAAACACAACACTTCGACGTTTCCACGTTTTAACGTTTCAGCGCTAGACGGACCCACATACTAATGTGCGTTAAGGATAAACAAAATTATCGCTAAAAGTAGGATCAACAATAATAATATTATGTTTAAAAACGGAAGTGGCAAGGATGAAAGAAGTCATACAGCCTCTCGCTGGTTTCTGGATGTGCTGATTGGGAGAAGTTTGTTCGGTGCTGGTGGTAGCTGCTTTTTAGGTTTAAAAATTTTATTTCATAACTAAGATGTTAATACAAATTTCTGTTTATATTTTAATTAAATCTTCAAAATTTCAATTTAAAATTATTTAAATATTACAACAAAACAAAAAAAAAACAAAACAATAAAAAAATAGTAAAAAAAGTAAAACAAATAAGTTTATCTAGTTTACTTTTAATATTAAAAAAGTAAAATTTAATAAATTAAAACGCTAGTAAATAATTAAATATACATAAAAATATAAATATATATTATATATATTATTATATATATATATATGATATATAGATTTTGAAAAGTAACAAAAATAAGTAAAAACGAGAAAAAAACTAGTGAGTTATTTTAAATATATTAGAAAAGTGCTCACTTATGTATGTTCTAATGAGTTTAACAATTTAGTTGATTAATTTAAAGTTTTAAGTTTGTTTTTAGTTTTAGTTCTTCTAATATATATATTTATATTGGTATACATATTATATTGCTTTAAGCGTTAGTTTAAATAATTTGACTTTGTTTCTTGTTTTGTTTAATTTAAAACTTTCTTTAAAAAATCCAATTACTTCTTCCACACACTAATGCAAATTATTATAAAATATAAAGTGATTTCTTTATCTATTGTTTATAGTTGATTTTTACTTTTTATTATTTAATAAAATTAGTAACCATTTTATTGCTTAAATAGTTTAATAGGTAATAAAATATATGAAATTATATGAAAACAAATTGTTCGAGTAAACTAAACTATTAAAAGGCAGAGGGCGATTATTTATATATAATAATATTAAATGTATAGAAAGTAATTTATTTTTTCTTTGTATTTTTTCTTGGTTTTATTTAAAGTTTCGTCGGTACGTTTAAATTGGAATCTATTGAATAAACTTTCATAAAACAGAGGGTCAATTTGTCGATATTTTAAACATAACTTCAAAGTTAATTTTCAACTATTTAAGTTCCAAAAATTGTTTTATTTTTATTAGTTAAAAAATCACAGTTAAAATCCTTTATTTACAAAGTTGAAGTATTTTTTTTTTATCGATGAAATAATGATCCTTATTTTTAATTCCGAAGAATTGGCAAGGAAAACAAATTTGTATATGAAATTTCGAATTTGTTGTTAAATACATTTTTTTTTGCTCAGTAATCCAATTTGAATTTACATGAAATTTGCTTTTAGTAATAATTATAAACATTTAATATCGTATTTTTCGTTTGTTTATTTTTTTTTTTTTGTTATTTAGATATATTTTAGTATTTCTAACGTTAGTCGACTCCCCTCTTCGCTTATTATTCGCTTTATGTTTCTAGTTAATTTTATTCAATTGTAATTTTTTTAATCCAAATTATATATTTTTATCTTCAATAATTAATAAAATGCAGAAAATGTATGTAATGATGAAAGCGCATGAAAAGGAAACTATTTTTAAACTATAATTATATGTATAAATGATTAAAAACTAAATAAATTTACACACAAAATACACGTAAATAATTAAAAATGAAAAATATTTTAACTTGAAACCAAGATTGTTGTTTTTTTTTGTTTTTGGTTATTGATTATAATTTATTAGCAATTGGCTTTTGAAATGCTAAACTAAGATTATTATAATTTTGGGAATGCTGTGATTTGTATCGGTATCGTCGGACACTGGAAACAGCTTAATTCTATGTGAATATGTAAAATGCGTAAATCTCAATTTGGAACAGAACGGACGGAACGGTCGGAGAAGTCGCGTGTGGTTTGTGCTAATTTTCTCCGTTGACAATATGAATTCGTACTGATTAGTTTCTTTATGTTTTATAAAGCTATTTCATTTCGAATTTTAGTTCTCAATGACTTAGTTGATATTATGACTATTTTTTTTCTTATCTACACATAAACAAAATCAAGGAAATATAACTTGAGGAACTCTAAAGAACGCTGCCAAATTCATTATAATTTTGTATATGGATAATTATTATTTCCATTATTTTTTATTCGATATTTGTTATACGAGTATAATTGATGCCACCACAAAAAAAAAATAAAAGAAATCTATATATATATATATATTTATATATATATATATATAATTTAATAAAAGAAGGCATATTTTAGATACAATAATTGTAAGAAAACGGATTAATGTAAAAAAACTAGCTTTCAACTGTAGTATATATCGTATATGTGAAATATTATATATAAGAAAGTAATATTAAGTTATAATAGAAGTAACAACAAAATTGCTTTAAACTTAAACGTATAAAATAACATATTATAAAAATTTAATGAATTAATAATTTGAGTGTCCAGACGCCTAGGGACCCTCTTTAAGATTAAGAACATTACTGAATTTTAATTAAAAAATAAAAATCTATAAATATATCTTTTGTTTAATAATCCACTTTATTCCAATTCTTATTAACTCTATGCATCTATATTATAAACAAATTGAAAATATTAGTAAATGAACAAACAAGCTAATAAGAATTATTTTAAAATATTGAAACATCAATTTCGAGAGTTTATAAATTAATATGTTTTCACCTTAAGTATTGTTTAATATAATTATATGTTTATTAATTAATTATATGTGTATGTAATTATTTATAAAGATATGCATATAAGTATTGTATTTGATAATTTCACATTTAAAATGCGTATATTATTGCTGACATATTTTCGACAGACATTTTTGTAAATATTAAATCTCTCCAATATTAAAGTGTCCACACAACTTGCGCACCATGTAATAACCTTTACTAACAACTTACTACGCACTGAATCTGTCAATCTCTAATTAAGCTCTGCAAACAGAAGTTCTTAAAAGTATACAAACTGCTAAAAACAAAGTATCCTTCTGGTCTCTCTGGCCAACACTAAGAAGTACTTAAGTTCTATTTTAAATATGTCTGCATTAGGAACTCAAAGATGATGTTCAGTAAAAAGTAGGAACAATAAACCTCTCAATTAATTTTTATTACAAGTTAAAAAAATAATTCACATATTATATATAAGATATTACTTTTTTCAAAATTATATCAGTATTCATCGACTTTTGGTAAATCGGCGAATATCGAATATTGAACTTTGAGAGCCCTATATAAATACGTTAAATCAACCTATATATATTATAACATAGCATATAGGAAAAGAAAATGTATCAAAGAGCGAGAACTTTTCCTAATTATTTTAAAGAAACCATTTTAGAATTTATATATCATACCTTATATTTAAATATGTAATACCTTTTTTTTAATAGTAAAATGATATAAGAATAGAGTTCAAGAAGAAAGGAGAGATCAAAAATGTGCTAAAACGAGTGAAAGTAAAAACAAATAATCTGAAGAAAAATGTTTATTTTTGGCTTAATTTAAGTAACAATAAAAACAGTTAAGTAACAACAATAAAAATTAAAGTAAAGCTATATTTGCAACTAACCGGTCAAACACCAATAAAAAGCTATATAAAGTATATATAATTATATATATTATATGTACTTACAAATATAAAATAAGTAAATGAAGTGGTAATAATTAAATAAGATGAATTGTACGAAACAAGCGGTATTTTTAAGCTAATAATTAAAAAAAAATAAGAAAACGGATTTATTTATAAAAAAACGTAATAAACAAAACTATGCTGGAATTATAAAAGCGAATTCTTATTTCAATTTATAAGACTACACGGCTTTTATTATGGGCCCAAACATTGTGTAACATATTTAGTAAACATACTTAAATGCAGGATAACAACCTCCCAGGGAAATTAACATAATAAGGTTCTAAATGCGATTATTAAAAACCTCAAGTAACTAGGTATGTCACTCAAGTCAACTACTCCAACTAATCAATAAAACAACAAACATTATAAATATCGAATATTCTATTGACCTTGATATTCGCATAGTGAATTTAAAAATATACTACTCTTTTTGGAATAGATTAGATTCGTTTTTATATTTCTGGATAAATTACCTATAGCACTTGAATTCCATAAAGTATCAACTCCGCACTTGATTACTTGAATAATTAAAGAAATTTAACAAACATAATTGATTTCTTATCTGCCTTGAATTTGATCGCTTTTATTACAGTTGGGAATCTAACAATGCGGCCTTATCAACTTCGATCAAAGTGTAGAATTGCTCGTCAAGAGAGCCAATACATACGATGGAATATCAGCTGAGCAATAGACGAGGCGATCAGTAGCGCATATGATTTACATAGAAATATACGAAGTAGACAGTTTTTGAAACAGTACCAAATTTTTCTAGCACTTTTTATACGACGAATTGAAATATAACAGAAATAGCGCTTTGAGAAATAGAGCAGTTCATTTCAGTGGCGCAAGTTAATCAGTACATATTGGGCAAATAGACTAGTCAGTTGTAAGAAGCTTTTAAGTAAAAAAATTATTTCAATAATAATAGTTTTGTGCTAAAATTAAACAAAATCTGATATGCCTGAGGGACAAAAAAGTGCTGAGGGCACTAAAAATGGAAAAGTTGAGAATGGTAAAAGCCCAAGTGTAACGAATGAAAATGGAAACGGAAGTATTTCGATGGATACTAAATTGAAAGCATCACAGATTCTTCATAATAGTGATGAAATCATTGATCCATACTGTGACCCTAAAAATCCCAAAAAAATATCCTTTCATGATATTACTTCAGCAGCATTTTTAATTAAAGATGGCATCGAACGCACTCCTTGTCCGGTAAGATAATACGTTACGCAGTTAAATTTATCCTTCGATTATATGTTTTTCACATTTTTACATCAATAATTAGCGATCAACCTCTTCGGAATCATATGGTATGGACTTATATCTAAAAAAGGACTTTCTGCAATATACCGGAAGGTAAGATTATTTTTAAAAGAGTATTTTGTTTAAATACATTTACTCTCGCAATACCTAGAAGATAAACTTTATTAGTTCCCCAGTGAATATGACTCATTTAAATAATGAAATATTAGCAACCCCCAATGATATATTTTCAAAGTGTTGACTTTAAGGAAATATATGATACCTTTGGTTATATTTTGGTTTAGATTTTGAGGTCACATTATATTTTATTTAATTAAAATATTTTATGTATTTAATTAAATACATATAATTAAAGAATTTTACTTATCGCTAGATGAATCTGTCTTTTTAAAACTTTCCGTTCACAGAGGAAAATCTTACTCCAAAGTTGAAAACACTCGATTGCATTAGAAAGACACTTCGGTCATATGTAATCAGTTCATTGAAAGATTATCATTCTGACTTTAACAATAAATTTTTATTGTCTAGCCTGATTACGTGGATGAGCCGTAGTTATTACGTCGTTTAATCGTTTAAATAGTGTTTATGAAATATTATTCACACTATATTATATATACAAAAACTTTGCGAAGAAAGCAATACATATATAGCATAAAGAACGTTTATCAAAAGAGGCTTGTCGGTATTAGAAAAGTATTGCGATTTTGACTTCTAGTGTTGAATAATCTCAAGTTTATTAGTTGGGGTTGAAGGTCGTGTTAATTTGCCAATTGTTTTCTTCTGATAAACTTTAGGACCCCAATTAAGATTTTTAAAAATGTTTACGAATTTAAAAGTCTTTTTACGTATTTAATTTTCTTCATGAAGTAAATAAAATTTAAAACCCGCATATATTGTACTGTTACTAAGGTGAGTATTTCAGTTTCAAGGGGTTTTCTTATACAAGGTTTTGTATGTAACTGTTTTATTCTTAGGCACTTACTGTCCTCACTGTCCTCACTGTCCTCATTGCTAATATTTAATTTTTATTGTAGCTTCAAGGAGCGTGGTGCCCGTTATACTTTGCTTTCACTATCTGAGAAACAGAAAAAGATTGGTGTTATATCAGCATCATTAGGAAACCATGCCCAAGTAAGAAGAGAAGTTTTAATTTGAGTCATCAATTGACTAATATTTTTAGGCACTGAGCTACCATGGCTGGAAATTAGATGTACCAGTTACCGTTGTGATGCCGAAAGCCGCACCTATTATGAAAATACAAAAGTGTATCAATTATAAGGCGAGAGTGATCGTAGAGGGCAGAGATATGGCTGAAGCCAAAACTTTGGCTATGAAAATTGCACGTGATGAAAATCTATTATATATTAATGGCTATGATCATCCACATATAATGGCAGGTCAAGGTACTATTGGTTTGGAAATTCTAGAGCAAGTACCAAATCCAGATGCTGTCATCATACCTGTAGGTGGCGGTGGATTAATAGCGGGTATAGCAACTGCTATTAAAGCTCTTTCCCCAAAAACTCAGATTATTGTTAGTAAACTACTTAATCATCGGAATGTGATAATTTTTGTCATTAATATCTTACTATTTATTTATTAAGGGAGTAGAATCTGAAAAGTGCCCCAGTTTTAGTCGTGCTATGGCTAATAACGGACCAGTACACACACCAATTAAAAACACTTTAGCTGATGGTTTGGCTGTGCCCAAAGTAGGATATAACGCATACATAACAGCCTTACCACTTATCGATAAAATGATTGTCGTGAAGGAAGAGTGGATTGCATTAGCAATTCTTCGTTTAGTGGAAGAGGAAAAATGTGTAGTTGAAGGTGCGGGTGCTTCAGGGTTAGCCGCCATATTAGCTGGACATCTTAATGACTTAAAAGGAAAAAGGTGAGGAAAACTTTAAAGTGATAATTACAATTTTAAGTTTTTTAAATTTAGAGTAGTTATATTGCTATGTGGAGGCAATATTGACACTACTGTGTTTGGACGCTGTTTAGAGCGTGGGCTCGCAGCTGAGGGTCGCTTGGTTAAGTTTAATGTTGAAGTATCGGATAGACCTGGCGGCATTCACGAACTTTGTGAAATTTTATCAACACTTGGTGTATCTATTAAGGACATTATGCATGAACGTGCATGGCTTAAAGACATTTATACGGTTGAGGTAAGTTTTTGACCACAAAAAAAAATATTCAGCCTTTTACATTCTATTTTTCTCGATAGGTTAAAGTTGTCTGTGAAACACGCGATTGGGCGCACAGTATGGAGCTGAAAAATGAGCTGAAAAAAATTTACACAAAAGTACAATTTTCGGAAGAGCCGTTGGCTATTTGTGAAAAAGAGTTAAATAGTGTTTAAATTTGTTTTAAATAAATATTTCTTATTTTTTTTTATTCAATCAATTTTAATAATTTATTAAAAAATCATAATTAATCATAATTAAGAATATTTTTAGTAAATTTATTTAAAAATATATAAATTTGATCATTTTCATTGTTATTTTACTTTCTAAACATCATCATCATCGTAAATAGTTATATCATCAAAATCATCATCAAATTCTTCACCATCAACAGCCATTTCTTTCTGCATTTTCCTTCGCATGGCTAATTCGTAGGCTAGTTCATCTTCCACTGAAGGATCAATTGCTTCTATGAAATCATACTCAAGATGTGGATACTCTTGGTATTGAATTGGCATATGCTCGAATGGCATGTTACGGGCTACATATTTATGTCCCCAACCCAAGTAAATTGATTCACATACATCTTCGAATGTAAATGAAAATGCACCAGGCCAGATGTTTGAACACATGACTAGCACTCTTTCTTTTTCATTGGTATAAGTACTAGTGAAACGTGTACTCCAAGGTACAATATTAAAATTAGAAACATCCTCATCACAATGTGATAGTATGTTGGGCCCATATTCTCGTAGATCGGGGTACATTTCTTCTTCTAAGCCTTCTTCCTCGAATTCTTCTTCAACTTCTTCTTCTTCTTCCTCCTCCTCTTCAAGAGCCGCTAGTCTAGCTAATCTCGCAATTTGCTTCGCACGCATTCTACGAGCTCTCGCTTCATCGAACCACACAACGCGTCCTTGATTTAAAATATTGGGACGCACATGAACCCATTTGGAAGGTGTATTTAACGACGTTAATGGTATCGGATCATACCTCTCGTTTTTTAGAAGAAATACGTCATTATCTACAAAATAAATATAAAAAAAGTTAAATATACAAAATAATTTTTAGTATTTCTGTTATATACAGATATTGTAATATAATATCAAAATACAAAAAAAAAGAGAGACAACTGTACTCCACTGACAATAAAATAAATTTTATTGATTAAAAAAATTTAAACTTTATTTACCCATGTCTTCTTCTTCTTCTTCGTCTTCAGCTTCTTCTTCTTCTTCCTCCTCCTCATCATCTTCAATACCTTGAAATAAGCGTTTTTCACGTTTTGTCATTTTACGGTAATAACCTTGAGGAGCTATGTAGGTGCCAGCAGTTATTCGTCCAATAATAGCTCGTAATAAATGTTTTTCTTTTCCACAAAACTCTGGATAAGATATTATTTCTTCCTCAAGATCACCAGTCAACAATTTTTTAATCTGCCTGGAAAGTTTAATTTGTTGCGGAGTTACAATAGGTAGCTCTATCCAATCATCTGATAAAGCGTTAACAACAAAATATGAAAGTCTATTTGTACCTTCTCCAATAAATTCTGGAGGTACATCAAAATCTTCCTCTTGCTTGCTATGAGGTAATGGCTTAACTCGGGGTTTCATCTTTTCCACTTCTTCGGGAGGATAATTTTCCCAACCTTCACCACCAGGTTCGAGTTTGGGACCCATTCTATCAACCAAAGGAGATTTTAAGACACTTTTATAATACAATGACAATTTTTCCTGCATTTCTTCTCTCATCAACGCGATTCGCGTAGTTAGTTCACTTAGAGTTAGATATGCTTCAACTATGTAATACTGAGCATTCAATCCAGTTATAATACCCCAAAAACGACATTGCTGAATTGACGGATGACTTTGTAGGCGTGTCATAGCAGCAGCAAGTTCGTAAATATCTTCTGTGCTTGTGCTAATTAACAGAAGATTATGAAACATATATAGTGCTATAAAAATTCCTACCTGAACCCACATTGGTGCCAATAAAACTGTAGTCTCTGTACGTGCTGATTAAAAACAATAAATTTTTTTAAAACTTCGTCTAATTGTAAATTTAAATAATTCATTTCCGATTTATGGTCCTCTTCAAGGCCTTCTGCAGCTACTCCAGGTTCAGGCGGTATTTCCAATCCAGGCAGCTTAAAAAGAAATATTGCGAAATATTCAGTATTTTAACAAGTACCAACGTAATAATACAAACCTTCAATGAATGTAAGAACTTTTTAGCAAGAGGGTAAATTTCAGATTCCAAATAGATGGCCTTTGGAGGAAATCGTTCCGGTAAGTGGAATTTTTCTTTACGTACTTTACGACTATATTCTTCAAAGAAATCAATAGTATTTTCTGGTCGTTCATCTAACACGTGTTTTATAATATCGGAAAGATGATCAAATCTACAATATATATCACATATAATTTTATAATTAAAACATCAGTTTAGCTACTTACAAATTGTTCCCCGTTTCTGTACTGTATTTTTGCAGAATAGCTTTCGCTACTGCTGTCTCATAAACAATATTGGGCGCATCCATCTTAGGTTTTGGAAGACATTCTAATTTCATAAAAGCAGAAGACATGGTGGAAAGAGAAGAACTCGTCGATGAAGTAAGTATATTGGTGCATGATGGTATGTCTACTACTAATTCGACTTGCTCTACAGGTGGAATCTCTGGCTGTGTACATGGGAATGGAGCATTTAGTGAAGTGGTTGAAAGATCCGAGGGAAATCGATCACAGGTTTTCATTTTAGTGCCCGGGACAAAACCCTCACATGGTTTCATCTCATTCTCGTTCTCATTCATTTTGAGTAACGACAAGCTTGAGTTAAGTACTACGAAATTATATGATATTGAACTAAATAAATAATTGATTAATTTTTTTTACTTAAGTTTTAAATTTTTTTACATATAAAAATTATAAAATATTTTAAAATCTAAGTTAACTAAATCAAGAAACACTAAAAATTATATTATTTTCCTTTAATTAGTTCTGTATATTTTATTCACTTGTTCATAATTTAATACTCTTACACGACAGATAGATAATGATTAAAATGTGCATCAAATTGGAGCAGACAAATTTTAAACAATGTCCTTGTTAAAGTTATACGCACCTACATTTCTACCATTATGTATTTCACTAATATGGTGACAAATTACGTATTGCATGACGAAATAAACAAGCTTATATTAGACTGCCATAAAGGGTGAAGAAGAGGATCGCTGGAAATATAGGTTCAGAAAAGAGAGACGGCAAATAAAACCGAAGGAGACTCATTAACACTGAATCCTGTGTGACTAGGTATCCAGCAAAGCATCACTTTGTTATTGCTTGCCAGCTGGTGCAGCGTGTCATAGCAGTCTAACAGAAGCTTAGAGGAAAATTTCCAGGAGGACAACACTAAGTATTGCCAGATTAATTTTGACATTTCTGTTTCAATTATTGTGTTATTTACATCGATTCTAAATTGTGTCTGCGAAAAAATAAAATTAAATAGTGAACACTTTCGTGCGATGAGTTTTTACGATTTTCCACACGAATTAACCAGAAAGGAAGGCATCTATTAACTTAGTTCGGCATTTGGCGATGAAACATCACATCCAGCAATTATACCATAAAACACTGATTGAGTGAATACAAGCGTGGACGTCGTTTTTCCACGACGAAGGTCGTGAAAGTTGTATATGTATTAGCCCGAAACAAAACAGCATTCTACTGTTTGGGTCTTCCAAACTGAGAAGAACCTGACAACAGTTCTTCGCAAAAGAAACATATCCAAGCAAATAGTCACAAATTTCTTTAGAAAAACCAGTCATATTGCAACTGTACCGGTTGAACAACATAAAACGGTCAATTCTGAGTTATACATAACCATTTGCCAGAAAGCTTCGCAGAATTAAGGAAAACCATAAATTAAGGAAGGAAGATCATCTTCCACCACTATCACATCACCACACATCAGCTTAAAGAAAAGATTTTTTGAGCACTCAAAACGTCGAATTGACGTGGCACCCAATGACTTATTGTTTCTAAATATTAAGAAAGAAATGCATGGCGAGTGTTTTTCTACGTCCGAACAAGCCGTTGAGACATTTAAAACCCTGATTTTAGAGATATCAACTTAAGAGTGTCAAAACTGTTTCGATTATTGGTCCAATCGAATGCAAAAATATGTTGACTTGACCATCATGGAGAATACTTCGACTGTGTTTTCAGTGTTAGACGCAAAACTTAAAACGGTTAAAATTAAAAACTTTTGGGTTATACATAAAACCATTTAATAAAAGATTATAAAATCGCATCGCATATTGCTATAAGAACATATAAAAATGATTTACATAAACAACCAAGATATATTTAGTGTTAAATCGTCATATGATACGAGTTGTTTATTTGCCTTTTAATTAAAGTATAGCTCTGATATAAATAACAAAAAAGATAAGATAAAAGATATAGATAAATATGTATATCCAAATTAATAACAAAAAAATGTATATGTATGTATGGAAAAATGATTAAGATCCAATACAAATGTATCTATAATTTATTAAACAATTGCATAAAGTACCCATAAATACAATACATAGAACAATCAAAAAATAAACTCACAGCTTTAATCCAAATGCAAACTGAACAAACGTATTTTATAAATAATAATCAGATACAAATTCGGCTTTATGGGTATGCAAAAATAATATTTTTCTTTGCAACAACTTTCGTAATAACAATAAAACACACAGAAACAATTGAAACACGCTTGGGATTGTATCTTATCACTTCATTTGGTTTCTTCACTTTGCATTCGCATTTATAACTGTGTACCTCCGGTTTGCTATCGTTTGCTTTACTTTTTGTTTCTTTTCTTCTGTTTATTTTCTGTATGAAAAATGAATTGAGGTAAAGTTTCGACTTTAGTTTCTCCGAAGCGATCGGCGTGTGAAGTTGCATATTGACATACTCCGAGAAATACTTGTCTCAACCATTTTGTTGGAACTGCAGGGAATATATAATGCCGATTGTACAAACCGGTGAGTTGTGTATTACTTATTATGAATTGTTTAATTTGGATTTACATCTGCGTGAACTTTTTTTCAAAGACTTACTAATTGTTTATATTTTCAATTCTTTAATTAAATGAAATTCGGTCACATGAGTTTAATCGATAAAGTACTAAAATTGATCACTTCCAAATATATTGGGCTGCGATATGTCCCAAGAAAACCAAAAAAATATGAAAACAATATTATGGATAACATTAAGATTGACTTTACTCTTCAAAGAACATATCTTAGTTCTAACAATTGAACTTCTAATATCCGCGTAGCGTAGATTTTGATACCCTTCGAATTGTCATGATTTTTTTCTTCTTTATCATACCATAGTAGTTCATTTATTATCACAACTATTCTGTGATTAAATCAGTAAAATAGTGCGTATATATGCATAAAACTAAATTAACTTAACTACTTGTAGCTTAAGACAGAGATAAAAACTTAGAATGTTTAATGCCAGATAAGATTAAATGCTGGTATAATATAATCCATTGGCAGAACCGAAGTAGTACTAAAAGAATTTAATTTTTTTAAGATTTTATTAGAATGATTAGTAGTTTTTTTTGACATAAAATCACATTTAATAATGAATTTTTTTATTAAAAACTAATTACATCAAAACTGATCGTATTATACTTTCAAATAATTTATTTTACTACTTGAAACCGAATGTAAATTATTTACAATATAATAAACAAAGTTAACCAATTATTATATATCCATTTTATTTTATCTTCATTATAAACTATAACAATCGGGTGTAATAGTTGAAGTGTTTCTTCCACTTACGCCTCTACTCTTACTGCGACCAGATATCAGTTATTGTTCTTTAAAGATGCGCTAGATTTCGAATAATGGTCAAGTGATCTTATGCTTTGTGTTTTGGCAAAACGGACAAGATCGTCTTTGTTAAACAGCTACTCCTACTCCTTTTTTATTTTAATTATTTTCTTTATTTGCATCTCTAAATAAATATAACTTCAATTATATTTATGATATACAGTTTTGGGCACAATTGAACCCAACTTATTGGGTCGCACATTAACGCATGAGCACATAGCTCTCGATTTTGAAGGTTTTCATTGCGAACCTCCAACAGAGTTCAAATCAGCACTGGAAAGCAAAATATCTATGGAAACATTGGGCTATATACGGCAATATCCATATTCATCACTGGAAAATGTTCGTTTTTATGATGAAAATTCACGAGATGCTGCCAAAAAGGATGTGGCTTTATACAAACAATTTGGAGGTGGAACAATCGTAGAGAATAGCTCTCATGGATTGAAGAGAAATTTGGATTTCATGGTTGATGTCTCCAAAAGTACTGGTGTGCATATCATAGCTGGAACTGGACATTACATACATGATGTCCAGGACAAAAAGGACACCTCACTAACAGTCGAGCAAATGACTGATATTTATTCAAAGGAGATTATAAATGGTGTTGAAGTAGATGGTGTTGGTATGGTGAAGTGTGGTTTTATTGGTGAGGTAGGCAGTACATACCCTATACATGGTGAGTTTAGCAGCAGTGTTAATTGTATACATATGTACATACATATAACAAATTTCACATTTATAAATAATTTAATTTTAAGATTTTGAAAAACGCGCCATACGCGCTACCGGTGAGATACAAGAAGTTTTAGGTTGTGGTGTTTCATTTCACCCTGGTCGAGATTCTGCTGCACCATTTGAAATAGTACGTCTTTACTTAGAAGCTGGTGGACGAGCTGATAAGTGTGTTATGTCGCATCTGGATCGTAAGTTAAAATTAGAAAATAAAATAGATTAAACCTAAAATAATACGACATTTTGGTAAATCACAGGAACCATATTTGATATAGAACAATTATTGGAATTTTCCAAACTGGGCTGTTATTTACAATATGATCTCTTTGGCACTGAGTGCTCTTTTTATCAGCTTAACCCAGCTGTGGATATGCCTTCTGATGGCCAACGTATAAATAATCTAATAAAACTGATTGAAGAAGGTCTATGCGATAAAATTTTGATGTCTCATGATATACATACTAAACATCGTTTGGTAAGTAAACCTTAGTCGTTTTAGTCATTTAAGTTAAACATTTAAATGTCCATTTAATTTGTTATATTTTTTAGACGTCTTATGGTGGACACGGTTACCATCACGTGCATATGAATATATTGCCCAGAATGTTTGCTAAGGGCTTGAGCTTAGAGCAAGTGGATCAAATGACTGTCACTAATCCAGCCAATTGGCTTCAATTTAATATTTAATAATTGTCTTATATGGTGTTACATTACATTACATTATTTAATTTAATTATTTCGTTACAATAAAAAAGAATATTTCAAATGATCAATTTTAAAGTAACGGCGATGTTTAAATTATATTAATTCAATATAGAAACAATATTAAATAATAATAAGACTTAACTAGTTTTTAACTGATTGATAAGTGATAAGTTTTTAACTGATTAAAATGTATTCTGCCTGAAGAAATGTATTTCCTAACTACCAATGGTGTGAAGATTGTACGTTTATGCAAATTAAAAACTAAATAAAATTATTTCGTTGATTAAATTAATGAAAAGATTTCTTTTAAAATAATAAGAATTATCTTGGAGTAACATTTCATACTTTGTACTTTGATGTTTAAGATGTTTTATTAATGATTACGGACAAAAAACTCAAAAAAGAATTTCCTAAGTTTAGCCAGTACATTATTCTATACCTTACCCTTCTTGTCGGAGACGCAGTTCATTTAGGCCCTAAGAAGAAGAAGCCGCTAATTTTGTCTGCATCGCTATGCCAAGAGAGGCAATGTCTTTAAAACATAGAGGTGATATGGAATATAAACTAGTGAAAGTGAGGCCTTAGAGTGACGATCTGCATTCTGATGATTACAAAAACAGTTTAAGTGACAAAAAGATATCGACTTCAGAAAAATAACAACTAACAAAAACCCCTTAATTAAGAAATTTGTTATCTGTATGAGTTGAAGTAATTACATCTTATGGTAGGCATTAAATTGAAGTATTCAAAACACATTTTTTTACATATAAATTTCCTCATTAAAAATTTTTTTATTCTTCTATGATTTTGTATGTCTCGTAAAAGAATTATTTGATATTAAACGGGAACTTAGCATTGTATTATATTAACAGAAATAATTTACAGAAAGATAAGTGATAATTATATACAAGACATGAGAAAATAAATAGATTTTGACTTCTAGAAGAATTGTACGCCTAGAAAAATATTTATAATTTCTTTAACAAATGAGATAAACGATACAATTATAGAGTGCAGTTTAACAAAAATTGATAACGTAAGAAATTATGATAATAATAATAATTTACAAAGGGAGTATATTCGAAGGAAAATTATATAAATTCTATATATATGAAATCAGAGTTTCATGACATTTAATTACTAATCGACTTAAAAATAAAATTTAAAAATGTCAATATCATTTCGTCAATTATTTTTTGGCACATTAAATATTTAACAAGAGCAAAATAGATTCTCTTATACAAAAATATATCTCTATGCGATTTAAGACTGGACTTGTTACTAATCCTAGGCATAATACAAAATGTATAATTTTAATATTTTGTAGTATTCTCATAAAAATAGCAAAAATATAATTTCTTCTTTAAAACTGAATTTTACCTTCTTCTCACGAAGAGACCAGTACTTAAATATCACCTTAAGTCTTACGAATATGCAAATATACTTTCTAAAATATTTTATCTTTACATGAGTATATATCTAAATTTGTTTTAATTTTAAAAATATAATTATTAGTTATTTATATAATTTTTTTAGTGACTATTTTGTAAACGCAAAATCAGTGCATCGACGACATTGAAAATTTCATCGAAATGGGGACGAGATTCAGCTTCAGCAGCCCAACACTTTAACATAAGGCGATACATTTCCGGAGCGGTATTTTCAGGTGCCGGCATGCGATAGCCTTTAATTGAAAATTTATATAATGCAATTATAAATGTCTTACTTGGAATTGATCGAGATTATTATTACTTACCAGTGTCGATGCGTTCACGTGCGCGTGAATTACTCATGCCTGAATAGGGCGTATCACCTTTAGAGAAAATCTCCCACATTAAAATGCCATATGACCACACATCACATAGCGATGTATATTTTCCAAAATTTAAAGCTTCCGGAGCAGTCCATTTGACCGGTATTTGTTTCATGCCATCTGAAACTAAAATGCAGAAAAATAATAAATAACAAAGTTTTTAAATTCAATTATATTATATATACCTATGTATTCCTCCTCTTCTCTGGACATACCAAAATCAGATATTTTAACAGAGTTTTCGAAGTCCACCAAACAATTCCGTGCGGCAAGATCACGATGGATACAATTCTTTGACTCCAAATATCGCATACCTGAGATGGAAACATTTAACAAAACCATTCTTATATATTTGAAGTTAAACAAATGATTTAAGCTATACATAATAGAAATGAATAATATAGTCCATTTTTATCATTTTTGAAAATTTATTGTTATAGTTCTGATTTAATGACCCAGTAAAAAGGGAATATTCAGTAACGCATATTAGAAGACTAAAATCATAGAGCAGGAAAGCATATTCATGCTTCCAAATATTCCAATAACTCAAAAGTACTTAAGCGAATTGTGTTAACCACGATTATTTAAGGTTTTAAGATTTGACCACTAATAATTAACAATTACTAGATATACTTACCAGCCGCCGCATCTCTACACATGCCCATTTGCTGCCGATACGTAAGTGAATTTGAATTTTTACGCAGATAATTTAACAGTGAACCGCCTGCAAATATTTGTGAAAGATTGAAATAACTAAGTTTAAATAAAAAATTAACTTTTTATAAAAAATGTATAACTTTACATATCAATTATTTATATTTTATTTAAAAAAGTGTTCTCTGCACATTCGTCAACATTAACGAAAAAAAAATACAGAAAGATTCCTCTCTAGTACATTTAGAGAAAATGAGCCAAAGATTTCTTTATCTATTATTATTATTGCAAGGGATGGTACACCGTGATCTATGCAATTAACGTAAACATAGTTAATACAATTGATAAACTTCACATTTTACTGTGTTCTAAGTGTTTAAACCTCATTCAGTTTAATGCACGCTAATTGAAAGTTCAGGACTTATTTTTTAACACTATTACTACCGTAAATGCATATGTAAAATTATGTTAAATGCAGTTGTTATCTAGCAAATATTGGAACTTAAAAATAGTAATTACAGAGATTTAATTTTGTTTATATATATATATTATATATTAATGTCTTTTATATTTTTTAGAAGTTCCAAGGCTTTAAATTTAGTAGAACACAAAAATTGTTCATTACGACCTGTGATTTTTCCTAATTACAAAAAAGTAAAGCAAAAATGACAAAATGTATAGCCACTTCTCAAACGATCAATTGCCGTTCATACTCCCTTTAGAATTTAATTATTCCAAAGACTATTCAATACATAGACTCGTTATGACTCAATTTTAAATTTTGCATCTTTATGATGCGAAAAGGGTTGGGGTGTCAAAGCATTTCATAGTCAACGAGTGTAAAGAAATTTGAATTGTTTTCGAGTCATTTTGTGCGCTCTGAACCATAGTTGTTGGTATTTTTATGCACAAACGTGCATTTAACGAGAGAGAAATGAAGAAGAGCAACATATGAGAATATCAAAACAATAAATGTTTGCCAAAATACCAAAAACTGAAGTTTTGTTTTTTTTGGTTGGTTTTCAATGCATTTGATTTCATTCATTTTAGAATTTTTTGTGAAACCTAAATTTCTTCTTTGTATAGAAGTAAACACCACTGCATTATTTTGTAAATTAGTATAATTTGTTTAAACTTTTATGAAATTTTAGTGAAATTGAGATTTTTTAACTACTAATTGAAATATCATTTTTTATATATATTTAAGCTTAGAATATTGTTATCTACAACCATGTTTAATTTTTAAAAGCAAAATTTTAGAAGTAATATTTTGCAAAAATCATATTTTTATCGCTTTTTTCTCTTCTATCTGCGACACCCAAAAAATGTATCCAAGTTTTTCTATAAAATTTTGCCTACTAATAGCCAAACGTTAAAGGTTCACTAAAATTTGTTGTTCCCACTCTATGTTTTATATCTATTTCAGATCTCAGAAAGTACTGAATAATTATGCAAAATATAACCTTCAATAAATCTCTTAACTTTTAACAATAAATTCAATAAGTAGTAATATAAAGACATTTCTTATATTTATAATTATATATATTATAATTCTGTTAAAAAACTACGTAGCTACCATGCATTATTATATTCAGGCGCACGCCCTTCAGTATGACCGAGTTCTTTAATATTGTATGCATAGCTGATTTGTTATAATTCTAAATCTGCGTATTGTTTTCGCAATAGGAAAGCAATAAAAAGAACGGACGACTATGATAATATAAGTGCATACTACCTGATCTTGTTGCATTATCGAGCAGCCCGCTAGTCCTTCTTTTATTGCGGTTTTGTTTTTAATTTTAACTATTTATTGTTATTTTTCAATAAGTTATTTTATTTTATTGCTTATAATTTACTGTTAAGATTTTTCAAAAACAACTTATCTAGGTAAAAAATTGTACCATATATAAATGGTGACTTATAATTTATAAATTTAGTTATTAATATCATATGTGCTAAGTAAAAAGTGAAAAAACGTCGGCAATTTAATTATTAAAAGTGTTTAAATTTAATGAACTTGTGAAGTCTATTTCAAATTTATAAATTGTTAGTTATTGCATAAAACTCAATTATTAATAGTGATTTAATTGTTAAGTGTTATAATTTAATATATTTGTTGAGACTTTTTCAAATTTATAAATTGTAAGTATTGCAAAAAATTTAATTCAAGTAGTTGCAATGGAAAGAAATCTAAACAAATTATCATTTAAACGGTGCTCCATTAATGGATGCAGAAAATCAAAAAAAGAAGATAACGAGTTGAGGTTGTTCCGGTTCCCATCAATTGATTCTGTAATGGGCCAGATTTGGAGGGAAAAATGTGGTTTTATTGCAGAAAATCCGAGAAAGAGACTTTTTATATGCAGTAGGCATTTTGTGGACAGCGATATCGGCACAAAATTTTTAAAAAAAGGAGCAATACCCGTATATCATTTATGTACTGATAGTGTTTTGTCGGATGAAATCATTTTTGATGAAAATACTTCAGAAATGAGTTTAAAAGTTGACACTGAATCGTTATGTACCAACTGTGGAAAATACATACGATTGTCGGACTTTTATAGGAGAAAGTATAATGCTTTGCAAAGGAAATTTAAGGCATTACAACAATGCCGTTCGCAAAATAAAACAAAACGAAATACTAGAAAAAATGTTGTGAGCGCAATTGAATCTTTAGAAACAGTAAATAAGGATGTGAAGTTATTCTGCAAGTTTTTATTAAGCGATCAGCCCAAGGAATACACTAGAGATGTAAGAAGGCTAGTACAAAATATATATTACATTTCAAGGCCTGTATACCAATTTTTCAGAAGTACTCTTAAATTTAATTTACCGCACGAATCTACATTGAGAAGATGGATGCCTATAAAGTCACTTCAGCCAGGTTTTATTAATAATGGCTTTTATTTATTAAAACAAAAATGTTTAAAGCTCACGCAAACGGAAAAAGATTCAATTATTTTATTGGTTGACGAAATGTCAATTAAACGAGAATTGCGGTATAATGAACCTTTAGATCTAATTGATGGCGTTGAAGATAATGGATACTTTAGATCTCCCAAATTAGCAAAAGAAGTTTGTGTTTTCGTAATAAAGAGCATTTTCTCTAATTGGAGATTAGTTCTTAATTATTTTGTATCTGAAAATGGATTAAATGAAGAAACTCTAGCAAATATAGTACTAGACAACATTAATATTTTAACAAGCTTAGGATTGACAGTTAGAGCACTTATTTGTGATCAAGGGCCTTCGAACAGGAAATGTTTTTCCTTACTAGAGATTACAAGAGATAAACCTTTTATAGTTCACAATGATAGAAAAATCTATTTTATGTTTGATTTCCCTCATTTGATGAAATCTTTAAGGAATAGGGTAATGGAAAACGATTTGCAAACGCCAGATGGAACTGTTAGCTTTAAAGTAATACGTGAAATGTATGACAAGGAAAACCATAATATGACAAAAATGTGTCCGAAGCTTACAAGGCAGCATGTATATCCGTCCTCGTTTGAAAAGATGAGGGTCAAAACTGCAACACAGGTTTTTAGTCATACTGTGCAAGCCGCAATTAGAGCTTTTGCAGAAAGCGTAGGATTCAAAAAAGTTTCAAGCGAAGTTGCTATATCTATCGCATTTACATAATATTTATATTAAATCTTAAGAAGTAATACAATCATAAGAACACATATGTATATAAAATATTTACCAATAATTGGTAAAACATTTTTAAAAATAGTATGCTTTAGTTTTGCCAAATGTATTATAATAAAATTTTATAGAAATCAATTTAAGATGAATAAAAAAAACAAAAATTAAACCTTCGGTTTATATGGCAGTTTGAATAATTAACGCTATTTCGCAAATATATGCGCTTCACAGATACTGAATAAGTATAAACGGAACATCAGTACAAGGAGTACAAGTGTATCGACTATTAACTTTTGCAAGCGGATAATTGCCGAGAAATGGAGATTTATTTATTGGAGTAAATTAACGTAAAGTAAACTGAAATTTCTTAGATATTTTTTGCACTGTACTTTTGTTAAAAGTTTTCAAATTTATTTATTTTTTTATTATACATCTTATAAAAAGTTATCTTATAAAAAGTAATACCTAATTTACCTAATTTACCCTACTCGAAATTCTGGTAAATACCAACATTCGCTGCCATACGGACATAATTTACTATTTTCCTCAATTTACCATCAATTACTCGAACTCGCACACGGTCAGTTACATACAATTATCTTATTTTAGCTAATACTAATCAGTGGCGTAACTACATTTTTTAGGCCTGTAAGCAAATTCTAACTAAGGGGCCCCTATCAACATACTAAGGGGCCCCTCTTTTTATACTCTTTACACGAAAAATGTGAAAAGGGTATATAAGGTTTGTCAAGATTTTCGTAACGCATTAAAGGAAACGTCGGAAATACCATTAAGTATATATCAGTACAGTATATATATACTTTTTCAGTTCAATCTACTCTCTCAGCTTTTGAACTCTTCGAATGAAACTTTACACACATACTTTTAGCCGACCCTGTTCACCATTTGATTTGATTAAAATTGGACGTCTATTTCTTGTAGCTGTGATATAAACTTAACCATCGGATATGAGGTTTCTCCGTTTTTAATAAAGGTATTTAAATAGAATTTGGTGTATACAGTACTGATATTTGCAAAAGACAACGTACAAAATTATTTTCAAATGGGTTTAAATCTAGATATAGCTTCCATATAAACTCTCGATTAAGACACATACTTTTCTTAGAAAAACTTTTTTATATTATAAATAGGTTTAATATTTTATTTGAAGTACATACATATTATGTACTTTAAATTTAAAACTTACGTATCTTTTATAAAATGCAATATGAAGTTATTCCAACAAAAAACGTTTACAAACGTTTATAGTGGGGCCCCCTAAATTCGGGGGCCCGAAAGCGTTGCTTCCAGTTGCTTCCCTGTAGTTACGCCACTGATACTAATATAACATACATATAACTGTTATTATTCCTGATTAAAACAAAAAATTGAAATTGGTTGCATTTGCTTCAAATGTTCCTAAAATAAGATCAAAAAATATTCATATTCTT